TCGAAGCTTTTGGCATTATTAACAGCAAATACACATAAAAATCCTTCACCGGTTCGCATATATTCATCACGCATAGCGCTACAAGACAACATTTGAAATGCGACGAAGAAGATGTTTTACCTATACTCTTCTTGACCGGCAGTATCCAAAATATCAAGCATGCACGTTTCGCCATCAATGTTTACTTGCTTCCTGTACGAATCCGCTGAAAGCTCAAATAATCAGGGAAAATGTCCCACCAATCGTCGGGTCATGCCATTCGACGAAGCTGGTTGAAAAACAATTAAGCAAGATCAAAACATCTTACTGATTTTGGATAAGCTGAATCGTTAGTGCACTCTTCCCAACACCACCAGCTAAGTACCAACAGTGTATCAAAATGCATCACTACGTTACCTCCAACAACAACGAGTTTGTACTCAGGCATCTTATCTACGACTACCCTATTGTCTTTCAGCAATGAAAATCGACACATGCACACCCGATATTAGCCAACCTAAGATAGCTTGTTTGATGCGGTTAAACAAATTAAATGTCTTCTAAGATTGAGTCACATAGTATGAACGGATTACTTACGAATGCAATAATCTGAATGCTGAATTTCATGCCTAAAATGCAGACATGGTTCGTACATTAATGCAAGTATAATTTTTGTTTAATTGGAGAAGTTTTACAACACTGGTTGCAGAATATTTCGTCCCACTTCGTAGCACGCCACTTTTAATTTTAAGGCAGTTATTTGTCGGGCTATCGATGAATAAATAAGCCATCGTCACCCTGCGCATATCTTCGCGCTCCCCGAGTTTACCCACTCTCTCTTATACAAAACAGCCTATACACAATTATATATTATACAGAGTCCTCCTTTGGACTTCCGTCTCATGGCTTCTCTTTTGCCAACACATAGACTTCTTCTTTGCATCCGGCCAGTGGTCAACCTGCATGTGGTTTAATCTCGTTCTGATGCACTGCTAAGTGTTGGGTGCAGGCCTTTGCATTCCGGATGGGCATTTTGCAGGTGACAGAACCTAAATTACGTGGCAGGGCTCCTTTCTCCAGGGATAAGAGACTTTTCAATGGGTTCCTTGTGGAGGATTTGGTAAAGTTGTTACAGATCGTCTTCATTAAAGATGCTTATTCGACTCGTTTATCGTAGGATTTTTTGCTTGGCATATAATTTTTGCAGTTGTATGTGCGCGACGTTGAGCACTTTCCTAAAGTTTTACTTGAGTCGCAAAGTAGACTATGGCGCGCTGTCTACTGACGTAAGGAGGCTTGGTAGGCATGGAGGGTGCGTCCTGGATGTTGATCCCAGTTTTCACTTTCCTTTGGTAAA